AAAATTCAGACCACTTCCTAAATGCCCGCCTTTGCATTCCTTCATTCCTCGTCATTTTTCAACACACAATTACCTCGCTACTAACTTAAAACAAACAAAAAATTCTTTGAAAAAAAATCCTTCATATTTCTGTGTGCAACACAAAAATGCCGTGAGCGAATACTTACCTTCTTCTTTAAATTCTTTGATATTTTCACTAACATTTTCTAGCGAGTAATATTTCGCCTTGATCTTATCTTTGATATAACTTTTTTCGACATTTATTTGTAAAAGTGATAAACTAAAGGCATATTTATAAATACATACCTTCATGCGGACTTACATACGTACGTACACATTTACTAACTACATTTGCATACGTACAGCAAATGCTTGAGGGTGAAAAAAATTTATGCTTTTTACCTCTGTCTCTTCTGCATAACATCTTTGAGCGGAATTCTAAAACTTCGTTATAAATAAAATAAGTAAATGTTGATAAGTATATGGATAGCAGCATATTTTCGAATGTTTGCATAGTATTTTAAAGTCAGTTGTGGTAGTTTTATTTTCGTGAATTCATTTATGTGTAGTAAGTGTTTAGTTACCCTTTTTCATTGGTTTAATTAAAAAAACAAAAAAAAATATTAAAAGAATATTTGAAATTCGTATACTAGTAAATGTCTCCAACTCAGGCTGTTGATAAAAATACTAAGGAAATTATTATACCAATAAAAAAATAGCTTCATAAATTGACATCTTCTCTCCGGGACTGTGCGAGATTTCTCCAGCAGGGAAGGGTTTTCAACCCGCATGTCTATTGAAAATAGTTTAAGTATGTAATATTCATTTCGATACCCGTAGAGACCTAAGGACTTAAAACCCTTTAAGATTTCATCGTTTGACCCTGGAAACCTGCCAAAGGTCAGCAGGCATAAGTACATACCTAGCCGGCAAGAAATCAAAAAATGGATCCGAAAAAGGAAAAAAGTTGATGAAATGCAGATGTTTGTCTCTTTGCCGATTGCATTTTCGGAGGCTTTGACGATCAGTTTTTCCACTTAACTGTGCGCCATCACCCTATGTACAGAAAAAAAAACGAAAATGGTTGTGAAACAGATACTTTTTGGACTTTTTTCTAATTGAACTTTTCGTTTAACATGCTTTCCTTCTGCACTTCACAGTTGCTTTTTCAAAGTTCGAAAAACAAAAATAAGGAAACGCCTGACGGCATTCGAACCCAGCACCTTATGAAAGCTAACAAGTAGTAGCAGGTTCCTCTGCACGCTCAGCCACTGCCGGCTGCGAATACCTGCTTTAAAATATTCAGCTTGAATAAATAAATAAATTAAAATTATTGCATCACATACATGATCTTCTCTAAAGTTTTCCAGATACGAAAATGAATGGGAATTAAAGTCCTTTCCGCATACGATACGAATTGAACGAGACCGCACTGTCGGCAAAGTTTACGTTTCGCTTCTTTAACATAGAATAGATACAAACTGTTTCTCATAACTGCTTCAAATGTACCGCCAGATACCACCTACACAAGGAGCGATCGGCGAATCCAACGCCCATCCAACTGATCACCGGGTAGTTGGGCGTTTTTTTTTCAGCTTCCAGTTTGTTTTTGATGAATGCTGACTGCTATTTAATGGTATTGGCCATCGGAAAGTGAGCAGAAAACAAATAAAATACCTGTTTGTTGTCTTCTATACTCTACTTTACCTCTCGGTCCAGTCATGGGGCAGCTATATTTAAAGCCATCTCTTCTAATACTACTGGCAGCATACAAGGCAATTGGCTGTCCGGTTCTACACAGCACCAGTGTGGTCGCCGGGGATCAGTAGGATGCAGTGGATGAAGCTACAGACTACACAAAACACAGCACTCCGAACAGCGACTGGATATCTTCTGATGTCGTCAGAACATTATTTGCATGACGAAACGAAAATGCTTCCCATTAGAGAGCACAACATAATTCTCTGCAAGCAATTCTTAGTAGGGAGCCATAGACGTGGTCACCCGAACAGACATTTGCTTGCAGAGGAGCTTTCGCCAAGGCACGTCAGAAGGCATCTATAAAGAGTCAGGAGACTCGGACTACAATAGCCCAACTTCGCTCTGACTAGTGCAGCAGGTTGAACTCGTACCTGAGAAGACTGGATGCAGATGTGCCCAATGAATGCCCGGCATGCGGAGAGACACCCCACCGCTCGAGACATCTCTTCGGATGCCCACTAAACCCCACGCAACTAACGCCTCTGTCCCTATGGGCGGACCCTAACGAGGCTACACGCTTCTTTGGTCTCCTGTTTGTTGAGCTATTTTCCATCATGTTGTCCCTGTCCTTGAGGACTGCAAATAATACGGCTGGGAAACCCGAAGGCTGCGTGCTATACTTGGACATTAAGAATCACGTCTGGATTTCTGCCACCAATAATTTCCAATAATTTAAGTTTAAAAAATTTCTAAAAACATTTGCCCAAAATGTCAAAATACTCCCCAAAACTTTATTTTTTTGGCTATTCTAAAAAAAAACAGAAAACGGCAGCACTGAGCAGAAGTGGATAATTGAATCACGGGCATGCCGGTAGTTGGCTCGGTCGTTGGGCAGGAGTGTTTTCTACATTGATCTGCATCTCCTGCGACTCTGTCTTTTGGCTTCTCGTGACTTTAAGTTACCACAGCCGAGGAACTCTTACAAATTGCCTCGATCCAGTCACTCGGTCCTATGTTTGCAACTACTACTTACTTACTCTTATGCGCGCTCGGGAATTCTTACTTTATGAAAAAAAAAATCATACATGCATTTTTCTGGTTGAAGATCCATCAGAGTTAATTCCCCAACAAAATTAAGAGATTTATGTGTCATACTTATAAGCGACATAACATCAAAAATGAGTTATCAAATTTGACTACCAACAGCAATGCACTTTTTCAACTACACCGCTACTACTACTACTACTACTACTACTACTACTACTACTACTTTAGACGCCCTCAACTAGCCACTGTTTTTTGTGTTTCTTCGTTGCATCACGTCACAAACATTGACAAATAAATCAACTTCATCGAATGACGCCACACAAAAAATGGCTAATAGCCGATGGCAGCAGGCGATGGCGGACTGACGGACTGGCGGGTACTCGCTGGCTGTAAATAGCCAACTGGACATTTGGCAGGCGTCAGCAGACAGCAAAGAGCGGACAGTTGGCAAATTTTTGCGGCTACTGCAATGTCACACATCAATTACCAACGACGACGTCGACGATGATGACGCCGCTGATGCTGATGGTGGCTGCGGACACGCCAGCTAATGCAACTGCTGTCGCAAGCACTTTTGCACTTTTGCATAGGAGGATGCAGCCTCCGGTAACGGAAACAAAAACGTGCGAGACACAAATTGTCTGCCTGAAATATGTTGGCTAGGAGAATGAGAGGCTGGCTTGTTGGCTAATCTCCTGTGTACATGCAGATGCATACATATGTACATACATATGTAGATGTACATAAGTGGTTTGTGTGTAGGTGTTGCATTCAGCACAAACAATACATGCCTGGGCTTGCGGCTGGTCGTCCACTCGCCGCAACGCGCATCCGCCCACTGGAATCATGCGGAAAATGGCCAAAATCACAAAAGGCAATAAACTGAATGCAAAATTGTGCACATTTTTCAACAGCATGCAAAGTGGAGGAGTGCAACGCTTTTTTGTGCAATTTTTGCAATTTTTTACATCACTGCCGCACGTTTCTATTGAGCCTTTTTTTTTGTGTGGTTAGTACTTTTTTATTGCGCGCATGTGTTTTTGCAAAATCCTGCCAGTTGTTACTCCCACTTCGTCATGTCAGTCAATGTTGGTGCTGGACGTTTTAGTTTTTTCCATAGTCTCTTCCTAAAAATGCATTATCGGCGCGCAGGCAAGCACAAAAAATTGCAACACTGCGCTGTGCTGTTGTAGGGAAAATCAAAAAAAAAAACATTACTACACGTCAACTAGCTAACTTTAGTAGCATCTAGCTTGTGAAATAGTAGTAGTTGCCAATTAAAATGTCCAAGTGAGTATGGTACAAAGCAATAAAGTTGTTGTCGCAATAAATCGCAATGGAATTGGTGTACATATGTATATTAGACCGCACCAACTCACAAGCAAACAAAAAAAGTTCGCCGTACACAACTGAGTCTAAAGTATTTTTTCAAGGCAATTCCGAAAAAAAAAACTGTTGAACCTTAGGGTGCCCTTTTTACATTTTTCGGTGATACCTACATTCGGCGAATACATTTTTTTGTAATATATAGTTCTACTGGAATAATAAAAAATTTCCGTAGCAAAAGATTAATGATTTTTGGAGTGCTTTAATTTACTGGCATTAGGGTGGCGCGTTAGGGTAAGTGGAATGGTGTACTTGAGGTCAATGATCTTTACAGCAAAAAGATTGTCTCCATCGATTTATTATACTTTAAAATCCGAATGTAAATTCCGAAGATATGATATCTCCTCGAGACAAAAACATCGATATATCATATCTTAAGATGCGGCTGTAAATGCCGAGGGTATGACAAAAATTATGAAAAGGCGATTCCTACCTTCGGCAAAAAAAAAATCGAAATTGCCTTGCATAACTACTTTCGTCTCTGACGTGTACGGCGAACTTTAATTCTGGAACGGTCTAAATTTTTATCATCCAGCAGAATCACGAGTGATTCGTCCTAATTTTTAAATGACCTTAACATAAAACCTAAGAGAATGTCTTATAAGAACGTCATAATACATATATATAACCCGCTTTACTACCACAGTTTTTCATGCTCCTACTACTACAATGCCTAACCCTTTCCTATTTTAAGTACTCAACTTAGGCTGGTCTAAAAACATACATTTTTGGGTGAAACATTTAAGCGGGTTTTACTCTACTGGATATACTATGTATATATATCTTTTTCCCAGTTTTCTTTTTATATTTTAATTCTACATACATTTGCTCATATTTTCCTTTTTCTTTTATTTTTCAGACGGTATAGTCGGACCCGGCACCATTACGTCGCCGTGGCCACCGATGAGTGCCGGCCCGCCTGGTGCGCTGGGGCCGGCAGACACAAATGGCAGTATGGTGGATAGTAAAAATCTGGATGTCGGCGATATGAGCGACGTAAGTAAAGCCCTGCTATACAAATCAATGCATTTACACTTTTATTAATTAGTAAGTAGCTGCTTCTTCTTATTTGGCAATACGCCCGAGACCAATACTCCGAATGCCTCACTCCTCAGCCTAATTCTGTGACACCTAGTGTTGCCATGGACACCTAGTGTTGCCAGATCCTTCTGCAGTCGCTACTTTCATTGCTCGTGGTCGCTTAGGCCGTGCTGAGTCGAGGGATCTCTTCCTCGAAGGGTCATCATCTATACGTATTAAATACAAGTAGATGAGTCTCCATAGGTATCTCTTCGTTGCAAAAAAAATCAGCTTTAAAATAGGCTAAGTGATGGTGAGCGACGAATTCCTCACCTAGGGTATATTCCAGAATTTGTTCAATGGCGGATTTGTCAGTTTTGAAGCCATACTTATTAGGCCCAATAAATTTGTTCATTAGGGGTTTCAGTTCTACCGTATTGTCGCTCGTGGGAACTGGTATGAATTGGGCAAAAAACGGTGAGATTTCACACTTAGGGAATGTATTCTTCAGACCAATCATATAATTCCACCATGGGTCCCATTATGTTTTAACTTCGTCTTTTTTTTTTTTGGTAGATTTTGCGTGGACATTTCGTTTGAAAAAATAAAATATTTTGACGCGACAACACTAGTTACCGTTCTTGATTGAATTCGCACAATCATCGAACTTTGTTTTTTATTAAAGGCCATTTTCTTCTGCAGAAGCTGGTTGCTGGGCTAATAACTGCATAGCCTACCTTGCTCTACATAAAAAAAAAAAAATATTTTTCTTAAATACATTTGTGCTTTCCTGAAATACATTTAAGTTTTCCTGAAATACATTTGGATCTTTCTGAAATACAAGGTGTATATAGTTCATGACAACTCCGATTTAAATAAACAAAATTACGATTTTTTGTTCATCATAAGTTATATTGAACTCTATAACTATTTTGACCGAGTTTTTTTATTTGAAAGATAGGTACATAATAACAGGGTTTCCATCTTAGGAGTCTATTAAAAGTGGATTAAAATGTATGTGGAAAAAATGCCATCCTTCATCCAAAAAGCGGCAGAGCGCCCTCACTTAGGTACAATTGTTTAATATTTAAAATTTATGAAAGCTAAACTACCGCTCATAATATTACATAAATATTATGTGGCCAACAACAATCAAATTTAAATGGTCCTTAACTCAAATGCATTTGAACTCCATTTTGGTTGTTTAGACTTGCAACCGCAACACACAAAATTAAACGAACACAAAAAAAAAACTTTAATATTAAAATTCAAATATGCATTTCGAAAGTGTAACTAAATCAGCGCGAAAACGTTAAGGTAACTAAATAAATGTGCAAATGTGTGGGTGTAAAAACGAAATATTAAATAAACTCACACATATGTACATATGTATGTACATACATATGCAGATGGGGCAGCATAAAAAAAAATAAACAATTACAAGCAATACGAGTTAATTTTCAAATATGCCAGACATTTCATTTGACCACAAATATGTTTGCAGTCAATTTCGGATATCAATCAAATTGCAATTTTAGCTTAAATTCAAAACGCACACAACTATACACACTAACGCATGTACTACATCGATACATACGGCATGTACTTATTGTACATATGTATGTGTATTAGGGTGGGCCAAAAACAGTAAAGTCGGAATTGTAATGCTCTCATCCCCTAGAATAGTTCTGTATACCCCTATTTTTTTATTTTGAAATCAAAAAAATATTTAGAGGTCGCTCAAAGCGCTCAAAGTTTTCCATGTATTTTTATATGGGGAAAAACTTTTCGTAGAAATGGTATAGACTTCTTGAAAATCAATATTTTTCGATCGAAAACTCTTGTTTTCTTCAAGAGACTTTCAATAATAATAGCCAATTGTTTATTTAACCATTTTTTAATACTAACGATTTTTTATTGGTCCGCCCATTGCATTTTTCGGGGTCTTTATGGGTTTTTGGCGGACCTATAAATTATAGTTGCGATGAAAAAACAGTTAAATAAACAATTTGGTGTTATTATTGGGAATCTTCTGCAAATAAACAGAGTTTTCCGATAGAAAAATATTGATTTTTAAGAATTATATACCGTTTCTACGAAAAGTTGTTTTATCCCCACATAAAATACATGGAAAACTTTGGGCGCTTTGAGCGACCTCTAAATATTTTTTGATTTCAAAATAAAAAAATAGGGACATATTTTTTTCGGTATAGGGGGTGAGAGCATAAAAATTCCGACTTTACTTTTGCACATGCATTTTGGCACACCCTAATGTGTATACAGATACTAATAATAGCGCCGTGCAACATTCTAAGAATGCATTGGTGCGGGTGTTTACCAGTTAGGGTTGCCATATGTGCTTGCCGGCGCATGTTTTTTAGCGTGTATGTGTGTGTGTGTGTGAGTGACACAGCCTCCTTCAAACATTATTAACTTCATCAATGTAATTTGACACTGGCGCTGCCAACAGCAACGGCAACAGTTAAAGTGACAACAATAACAACAACAATGAAACCAATGATGCCAGCAACAATGCAACGCAAGTTGACAATATTGTATGTATTATATTACCGCAGTCGCTGTCATAACCGTATTTATTACAACAACCAGCGGCAGTCGACCCTCAACGCCCTCCCTCCTCTTCAAAGTCATCAGCGTGGCCTATCTATCCCTCCCATAGTCGATAGCAATCGCCACAGCAACAGCAACAGTTGCTGAATGTCAACACTAGACGGACAGATTGGCAGATTGGCAGCTTGGCATCTCTTTCATGCTGTCGTTGTTGTTGTGTATACTATGTAGTGCTCCTGTTCACAGAGCTCTAGAATTCAAACCAAGGTACAAAAGCGTAGGTGTGAATTTGTGCGCATACGTATGTACTATGTATGTATGTGCGCCTGCGTATGTGTGCGATTGCGCTCTGCTTTCGCACAGCTACTCAAATTGCTCATTAAAACTCATTGACAATTAAAGCCACTTGAATTTACGCTCGAGTGCAATACTTTTGTTGCAGGCGCACTTGGCGTACGAGTACATAACAGCGCATTGTGCTGTTGTTGCCCCAGCTGCTCTTCAATATATGTAGTATTGCCGTCTGGTATTATTATCGTAGCGAGCGTATGGCGTTGCCTTGGTGATACATACTCGTACATATCTACAAATTGCACAGTGGGTTAATTTTTGATCTCAAAATGTCAGACGTCTGATACCGGATTGAGCACACCGCAGTACAGGAAGATCGACGAACGATGACAAACAAACCTGTAAGAATTTGTGGTAGCACGAAGACTACGACACATTCCCAGGTGCACTGAAATCATCGAACGATTTGCCGAAATCTGCATCAAAGCTTATGTTCAACAATACTAACCTCCTTTATGTACACGCCCCGACGGAGCAGAAGGACGATGAGACCAAAGATTAATTTTAAGGGTGCCTAGAAGAACATAAGAGCCTTGTGCATGATCTTATAATCGTACTTGGCGACTTCAACGTTGGGATGGGCAAAGAAGACATAGTATTTGGTTCAATTGTGCGAAAATGCGGCCTTGCCGAAAATACCTCCGCAAACTGAGGGATAGAGTTCGACTTTGCCGCGTCAAGAAACATAATGAGCCCAGACACCAAAATCCACATAGCCACTACGGTGTCTCCTGTTCAAACATCTAATCAAATTGATAGCCGGAGTGTAGGCTTCAAACGCTCTTGACGTACATGCCATCCGCTGAAGATCCAAGCTCGACTCGCTTCATTACATTGCTACAGCAAAGGTCTGTCGTCAAAAAGCTGCATTCGAACGATTGAGAACTTTTTCCGTCAGCTGTCAATCCGGACTAAACAAACAATTGGATAAATATAAATGAGTAGTGGGTTATCTTCTACCAATCTCTTCGCACCGATGCTTAAGAGATGGTGGGTTAATATCACCCACGTAGAGGCAGTTGGTATGCGAGTTCCGAGTCGATGTTCCAGAAAAACATGTGGCATATCCCGCCACCAAGCCAATGGTGATGCTTAACAATTGAACAGTACCATGGAAAAAGGAAGGAAGGGAGACGTTCTCTTAAGAAGAAGAAATAGGGCAGGAAGATGTTCATAAGTGCGATAAGCTGGACTTGCTAATAGGTTGGAAGCGGCTTGGGATTTATACCAAAGACTCAACGGCTGGCGTATGATTTCAGCAATGACAGTGCTGGTAGTAATGCTGACACTGGAGCCACTGCAACTTTTAGTAGAACAGGCAAACTCTCCTTAATATTGCGAGAGAGGGTTTTGGCAAAGACAAGGAACGAGGAGAAGCTGGGTTCCCAGCTCCCTCCAGTTCTGTTCCCCAGGGCCGATATTAACAGAATAATGGTTTTCAAAAGAAGCTTCAGGATTCATACATATGTATGTACAAAACGGTGATCTGCAGTACTTCTATTATGGAGAGTCACATTCAGGCGAGCACATTGCAATGGTATACAGAAGGGTCTGAAACGCCTGAATGGATTTGAGCAGTTCTTCACGGACCCAGTCTGAAGCTTTCGGTCCCCATGGGAATCTTCCCAAGCAACTTTAAGGCAAAGGTTTATGACATCAGTCTGTCTGTTGAAAATAGCATTCAAAGGAATTGTCGAAGCGAGAGGATACTGATTGCGAGCATTAGTCAGGCGGCTCTTAGGGCTCTCTTATCCGTGGAGATCAAGTCTTCCTTGGTTTTGAGGTGTGTAAAGAGGCTTAATGCTCTGGCTGAAGACAATGATATCCAACCTTTATGGGTACCAAGTCACATGAAAGTCGAGGGAAATGAGGAAGCGGATCAGTTGTCTAAGCCGCGGCGGCTGTCTCGACCCCGATAGAGCCTGAGTAGTGGGTCCCAACACCATAAAGAAAGTGCTCAGAAAAGAGAATACCAAACTAAAGGAACTGCGCTGGTGTAACACCATAGGTTTACGTCAGGAAAAAGCTTAATAGGAGAGTACAATCTGAAAAGATATAGGCTACTCATGGGTTTCCCTAAGGAGAAACTAAGAACCAGTACAGGTATTTTTACCGACCATTATACATTAAGAGGTTACTTGTATAATTTAGGAATCTGGTGTAGTGACCTCTGTCGCTGAGTGTGAGGCCATTATACGTAGGAGAGAGAGGAGCATAGGGCACTTTTGGCCTAGAGAGGAGCAATTACACTCTCTATTTCCGGGATCTATTCTGAAGTTTGTAGAGTCTTTAGGGCTGGTTGAACTGTTGTGGGGAGCTAAGGGCACAATAGACCTGGAGGTCGCAATGCTTTTGATTAACTATCTATCTACCTATACCAGAAAGTAAGGTAGCAATGAAATTATTTCAAAGCCAGAGCACGTTCTTCCTGAGGCGAAGATGGTAATCTGGAAACAGACGTCCGGAGTAAACTTGAGAAGGAACATTGCTCAACGCTTTCGAGTAGCGACAAAAATGGTGTATTTGACGTAGAAGAACGCAGAAGAACTTAGACCAATATACAGTGATGATGCTCACCTTCCTCCACGCTACCAAGACGAGATGGGAACTGGAAGAGCTGGTTGGACGCTATTATCAGCTGTTAAGCGCAGTTTGGTCTTTTGAATGCAAGTCTGAATTCGAACTTCAGTTTAATTACACCGCCCTATTCACAAAAAGGAAGATCCTGCTATGTAGTGCAGGATACCGCAGAATAGAGCATACAAAGCTATATCGACCCTACATGAAACAACTGCTTGGACCTCATATTGGGTGCCGCTGAAACCTCCTAAGCGATTTCGGGCGAGTGCAATAATGCAAGCCACTGTTTGTCTCTTCTGTGCCAATTAATATGAAACTTGTTCACTGTATTATGACTAATGGGCCAGAATATCAGTGGTAAGAAGGAACGTACTCACACTTGGTAGTAGTCAGAATCCATATTGAAGAAAAAACGCACATTCTGTTTCCAGTAAAAACTTGTAATGCATACATATTATATTGCCCCTTTGCTCGTTTTTTTTCCTTTTTTCTGTCACAGATCCTTTCCACACTTTCTTCAGCGGAGCCAGAAAAAAGTTATGCGCTCTACTTATTGAGTGAAGTGCACTTTCTCATTCAAACATTTTGGCCTTTGTGACACTTTTTGCTGTAGTTAACAGCATTTTTCACGCACACTCTATAAAAGGATATATTAAATATGTATATATGTATGTATGTACATGAAACTATGTACATACATATATTATTTTATTTTTATAAGCAAAATTTTCATTTTACTGAATGTAATGGTTTTCATCGTTTATTTTCATGTTTCGTTTTTTTTTACACACGCTCTACAGGACGAAAAGGATCTCTCCTCTGCCGATGCGGAAGGTGTTTGGAGCCCCGACATTGAACAGAGTTTTCAAGAGGCTCTCTCCATATACCCGCCTTGTGGACGACGGAAAATAATTTTATCTGACGAGGGTAAAATGTATGGTAAGTCAATTGATAATTATGTACTCGTACATATTTACTATACATATGTATGCATGTATATAGGTTGTATGTACATACAATTTGTGGGCGTACATACATATTTACACAAACGGATGAATAAAAAGTATGGAAGGACATGCTTATGCATTTATGTCTATGATTTTCGGTTTTTTTTGGTAAAATATTTTAATCTCAATACATTAGAGTGCCTCAGCAGAAAAAGTTTTATATTACATTTTTTTTTTTATTTTTTGCAATTTTGATGAAAATCTGCAGAACCGATTAGTAAATGTTATATAATAATAACTAATTGAAAACAATTGTACGGTTTCCCAAAACGAAAAATCCAATTTAAAAAGAAAAAAATTTAAATTTTATAAATTTTCATCAATTTTTTTTTTTGTTTAGTTGAAAAACTATTGGGTATGCAGTTGTGTGCCGTGCGCTGTGGTTAAAAATTCGTGCACATCGTTGTAATTTTAAGTAAAATATAAAGTCTGAGGTAGTTTTAGAAGATTTCCGCATTTTCTATGTGAACGACTATTTCCCCGACGACGACAAATTTAAACTTGTTTTCTTAAAGTCTGACATTTAAGTTCAATAAATTTCTTAGTCGGTTGTTATTATTTTTCAATGCTTGGCTTCCACTTTTTCTTTATCCAAACTTTCACCAAAAAATGTATCTATGTATTTCAATCTCATCCAGATTAAGCCACTTATTGGCGTTGGCACCTCCTTGTCGCCTCGTAAAATAGCACACAGCTCATTGACGCTGTTATGAAAGTATAAAATTTTAGTGTATTTTGACAATTCAACCAACATAATTGGCACTTCAAATCATCAAACACAAATGGCGTAATAAAAAAATGTCCAACACCTAAGCACATACATACATAAGTGTTAAGAAGAAGGAAAAGGAAACGGCACGATGACAATGCGCGATATTCCACTTAAAAGCAATTATAATCTCTATTTCTGTCATAATCCACAATTAACTGCGCCACTTACAAACACTTCAATTTTTTTTTTTTTTTGTTTTTTTTTTTTGCTTCAAATTCGCCAATTTTCCAGCACGTTCCATGAACGAGTGTAGAAACTTTTTTTTTTAAATAAATCAAAAAAAAAGCAGTACAAAACACCGACTCAATGACAAGAAACCAACCGCAGTGATCCGCCAAATGTGGGAAGCGTGTAGTGAGCATTAATGCGATTACAGCACATTTCCTTCTTTGTATTTATGCACAAACACTTAAAGATAGGGAACTCTTTTAGTTAAGTTAATATATGTATGAATGTACATACATATGTAGGTATTTGCAAGCATACACTTTCATATACATCCTTACATACATATGTGGTATACTCCGCCTACTGTATTCATTGGTTCTGTGCTCACTTCATTTCATAGCTTAGATCAGTGCCGAGCTGTTGGTTTTTTCTGTGGCCGTAAACCTATTGATGTAGTATGTATGGATATTAGGGTGGTCCAAAAAAAACATTTTTTTTCGTGTCACCCCAAGGATTGAAGAATAGCGAGAGTATGGAGACCCGTTTTTATTTTAATTTTTTTTTAAATCGGCTACCATTTACTTAACGGCGTCGACCAAGTGGTCAAAATCCAAACATTCGTTGTCCACTAAAAATACAATAATAAAACTGAAATTTTACAATAAAATAAAATATTTACAAATATTTTATATTTATAAATACAATAATAAAACTGAAATTTTACAATAAAATAAAATATTTACCATCTGAAAACCAATAAAGTCCACATATTTAGTGCTAAGAATTTTAATCAGAGCATAGCCATGCGTAAGCTCTTCCCAACTTTTTAAATAAAATATTGGTTTGACGTTTTTTTCTTTCCCAAAATGTACATATATGTGTATATAGTAGAGAATTATAAGAAAATAAATTGAAATAAAAAGTTTTCCGTATATTTCATATGGAGAAAATGTGTTTTTTCGTAGAATTGCTATTAAATCGTTAAAAGAAATACTTTTTGATCGAATAAAAATATTTTCCTTCACAAATCTTCAAACAACAAAATTATAATACATATTTAACTTTAAAATTTTACTAACTAATAGTCATAACATATAACCGATAATCTGACCTACAATACGAAATAATTTGTTATTTTATGTATTACACATTGCGCACGTTTTCAAAAAATAATGCATTTTTCCCATTTAAAATATATAGAAAACATCAAAGCCCGATTAAATATTACCCGATTTTAAAATAAAAAAAAAAAATACGGATTCTCAAAAACTGATTTTCCTGGGTATTTTTGGACCGCCCTAATGTAAACACAATATAAATCTAATGTTCATCGACTCTACATTCTTACATACGTACACACATACATATGTTGATATAATAAATCCACTTCAAGTAATTTCATCTGCCTACTCAATTCTTAAAGGCATCTTGGAAAGGTAAAGAAGCAACGAAAAAAAATTGTAAAATATGAAAAATGTAATAAAGTATAGTAAAATAAAACGAAATAGTTGAATGCAATTTTATTTTTTTTTTTTGGTGGGGACGGGGGCAGGGCGTGCGAAATGCCTAAATCACCATTAAAGCCGCCTCACAGCACTGATATGCCTGCAAACTAAAACACTTACCACCACTGGTTTGGATCGTTGTCAACCCAGGGACTACTTTTCGCATTCCTTTATCAAATTTTCATATTTTTCATTTAAATATTTAGTTTCCATCGGTGCACCTGCTGTTTCTTCCGAACAGCCGTTACCCCTCAGATCACAATCAGCTTCTGATCATATTTATTGGGAAAGAGGTATAAAGGTAAAAGAAAAGATGATAAAACAAGAAAAAAATTAATTAAAGAAAAGAAAAAACCCTCTGTCCGAATGTTTGAATCTCGAATCTCTAAAGCCGGGCTTTGCTCACTCCGCCATTGCGGCTATTGGAGCAGCACAAGCAAAATGGTATATTCATCACCGTTGAGGGTGCTTTCTGTCAAAAGAGCTTTTCACCATGAAAGTTGGCAAGAAAGCTTTTTTTGTAAGACTTTCATGCCGGAATAATTTAACTCTTTCAAACTATCTTGCCTACTGTATTTTATTTATTTTTATTGCCCTGTTAATTGGTCTGGTTAAAAATACCATTTCCTCGTATGGCTAATAGATATAAAATATACCACTTAATTGAAGTAAAAAGCAAACCGATAGTGCTCTAGTAATGCATAGTAGATTTCCCTGCTGGGTACATAAACATTTCGACAACAACCCGAAATAGTAGGTACTTCTACTGCAATTCGTTCATTCATAAAAATTGTCTGCAAGATTTACTTAGCTCAATGTGCAGCCATTTGATGCATAAAATTAAAAAAAAAAATATGTATTATTGAAATTATCAATTTAGTTGCAGATTTACGCTATTTAGTTGCGCTTTTGGGCCTGACACTAAGCGCTGCGCCCCACCTAGCGGGCAAGCAAAGACCTTACATACATATATACAGTTTTATTCTCATATGTATACATTTGTATCCAAGGTTCAGTCATACATATGTATGCTACATTAGACCGTATCAGAAAAAAAGTTCGCCCTACACCGCTGAGTCTACAATATTTTTGCAAGACAATTTCAAAAAAAAAAGTTTGGCCGCCGTTTTAGATTTTTCCTTTTACTTTCGGCATTAAAAGTCGGATCTTATCACCCTAACATACCACCCTAATGTCAGTCAATCAAAGTGCACCAAAAGTCATTAAACTTTTGCTAAGGCATTTTTTTCTTTATGCCGGTAGATCTAGTTAAAAGAAAATATTACCGCATGCAGGTGTCATCGGAAAATGTAAAAAAGGCGACAAAAAAGTTCGACAAAAATTTCTCCTCGAAATTGCTTTGCAAAAATATTTTAGAATCAGAGTAGTATGACGAATGTTTTTTGCTTCCTTGTAAGGTGGTACGGTCTAATGTATGTACATATACATACATATATGTACATATATGCGTTTAGCAAAATCTGCAGCCTGTTGAACTGGCATCCAAACGCAGACATACATATTCGCGACATGACACCCACACATTTCCTTTCTACTATTTCTTGCTTATCGTGACTTTTTTTTCTTCAAATTATTTTTCTCATTCATTTTGCGCGTTTCTCGCCTTTCACTATCGCTGTCGTCGCGTCGCGCCATACAAAAGTATTGTGTTGCATTTTATAAATTTACACATTTATACATTTAGCTATATAACAATTTTTTTACTCTTATTTGCTTTTCTTTGCATTTTTCTTATCTCTTTCATTATCCGAGAATTGTTGGGAAGCGCAAAAATTTAGCAGCGAAGTAATATGACAGCTTTACAGTCAAACTATAATTTTGCATAGAAATAACGCACACTGGGCCGTTTTGAAATTTTCATGCGCTATATTACGCTTTTTTCTTCGCTGCTCGCCCGCTCTGGTCGAGGAACACTTTCCAATGGCGTTTTCTTTTCTACAGAAAAATGCTGCCTTCTCTGTGCCCTCTACGTACAAATACTAAGGAGAAGAATAATAAAAAGGAGGAATTTTTGTAGAAGAAAGACTTAGTCGATTTTTTTTTTTGTTAGGAGAAAATTTTTTTGTAAGCAACAAAGCAAGGCTCTCCCTAAGTAGGTTCATTTTGGTCATAAAAACATACTCTGCGGAAAATTTTCAAAATCGGATGACGGAAGGGCGTTCCTCAAGAACCCTAAAATTGCATACGCTAATTCAATAAATTTTACATAAAATAGGAAAAAGAGTCTAAATTCAACGCCGTTTTATATCTCCACAGGTCTGGAAGTTATGCAGCCTGCCATTATCCAATTTTTTTCGAATTTTTCGTAGGTCAATAGTATTTTAAAAGAGTAGTTTTTTCATGCCAGAAATAATCTCGGGAATTCCTATTGCTTCCTGGATTCCGACCGCTATTAAAAAATCCTTTTCAATCATTTTTAGATATTGCTCGTCCTAGGTGGTAACCGTCACAAACTCCAGTGAAATATGTATATAGAAGTTAATTCAAAACATAATTTCCAGGAAAATCTCATGGAAAAAATTGATGAATGGATCGCAAATATTTAAATGTTTTCTGTTTGCGGACAGGATGCTACTATCCAATTCCTATGTAGAACCGCTCGCTTATTCCGAAAATCGAGTTAATTTTTTATGGACAAATTTTAAAAATACACATTACAAAGTTACCGTTATTCAGCTAAAAAAAAGTAGTTCCGCTTAATCACTTACATATATATTACGAACCATTTGTACAATCTTAACACGAAATGAGAGGTAAAAAAATTACCAATAAACGGTATATCACTTTTCGATAGGCTTAGTAATTTCTGAGGAATTTATTGATCACTCCAGATTATTTTTTAGAAAAATATTTAACAATTTATATTGAGCTCGAGGCCGTTTTTTTAAATGAAGATTTATTGTGGAAAAGCAACAATAATTTGAAAAAATTGTAGAAGTGATAGCTATTTTGGAAATCACCACATTTCCTCATCAGACTTCTTTCAGTAGGATTCGAACCGACGATCCCACTGACTCAGCCAGTTGCCTATGCACCGTGCTAAGTACGCCTTGTAAATTATCGTTTGCTTTTTTCCACTATTTTCATTTTTGTTATGCCAACACAATCAAGCGCAGCTATTCCGCCGCTTGTTGCTTTTCCACAATAAATCTTCATTTAAAAAAACGGCCTCGAGCTCAATATAAATTGTTAAATATAATTGTTATAAGGCCAAAAAAATAACAAAAACAAATTTTTAGAAAAATTTAAAAAATCCAATATTAACAGTGAAAAAGTTAAAAAATAAAACTTTTTTCTAAAATGTTTTTTAATTGTATTAAAGCTTGTTCTTAAAAACAAATCTAGCTTCCCTGCAAACAATTGTTTCAGAGTATTCAGAATTCTAAAGAAATTTAAAAAAAATTCGTAAATATTTCATCCGATTTTTTGCCGAATCTTCTAAACTGAAAAAAAAAACTGTGTACCCTTCGATTCGTTTACGAAATTTCGGAAGAAATGTGAAAAATTTTCTTTATTTTTCGTACACAAATTTTTTTACTTCACATAATTTTCTTTGAAGATTCGTAAAAAAATAGTTACAGAAATGAGATACTCTTAAAGATTTCGTTAAGATTTCGGGAACTTTGGTTTGCAGGGTTATAATGAAGAAAATGTATAAATAAATAAATTGTGAATGATCAAATGAAAATGCGCAATATGATTTTTTTTGTAGGTATGAAATATGAGCAGGAAAAACTATTACTCATACGCCATGTACGAGTATCCCAGCGTTTGATCGAACTTAATAGGAAAACGATTTTATCTCATCCTCGTTTTGCGTGAAGAAAAAGTGACGCAGAACTTTTTTCTGTCACATCCTCCATGAATCTGATCTCCTGAATATACATCTATGGACCACGGTACCTCGGAACTTAAGATACATATTTTTCGAGTCATCTATAATTTTCATTAATTAATTTATTCAAGGACTTATATTATAAAAGTCCTTTTATAATAATTATCAGAGAGATAAATATTTTTAAGTCTTCAAAGACTTTTATTTTAAGACTTATATTATAAAAGTCTTTTCATGACAATGATTAGCGCAAAAAATTTTTTTAAGTCTTAAAAGACGGGACTTGTTCAGGAGCATTTCAGGATTAGTTGGGGACCAGTTCGCGGCTAGGTGGGGAACAGTTCGGCCTATTGGGCTATTTTCCCTCTAGTTTTCTTCATGAGATCGACTTTTAAATCTAAGGCACTACTCAGCATACAGACCCACTGTCCAAGAGGTTTTTTTTTAGCAAAGGGCCGCAGTTTTTAGCCAAGAACCCTTAACCAAGTATATGGTTTCATAGTCTACTCTATGTTATTAGTTCTCTCGTAGTACAGCCAAAATTGTAATTTTTTTTTTTTCATTTTCCAAAACTTTTCGATTCACTAACACGAAAGTGAACATCGTAGGGGAAACGGATTAATTTTTTTGATTTTTTCTTCACCGAGACCATCTAAAAGTACTTTGCTATCTTTCGCTTACCTTTTGTCGTCTGTCGTCTGTTGTCTGTCGTCCATCATCGTCTCCGTCTGTAACAGTGTGCCGACACACTTAATGATACATTTTGTGTCAAGCAAGCTGACAGGCGTAGACTTTTGAGTCAACAGCAGACATACTAACACAAATACGAGTATACATATATGTATGTAGACGAATACCAACATACAAATGAGTTTTA